ATCCAGGAGAGGATGGGGAGCCTGCAGTCCCATGTGACCTGAGGTGTTGCTTCTGCCAGCACTTTCCAGGAGCTGAGCCCTTGGCCAACTCCCCCTCCAGCCCCATGCAGGTACCAGGCCCCTCCTTACTGCCTCCTGACCACCAGGGCCAAGTGGCTTCTAGGGCAGGAAGAGGGCCAAGATGCATGACTCTGTGGTGTCATGGGGGGTGACACCGATCTGTGGTGATGACTACTGCACAGTTAAAAACGCTGCAGAGTAATAACAGGAACTTACATTCGAGGGCTTCTGCATGTCAGTCCCCTCAATCAAATCCCCCCACAATGTATGCATCACCTTGTACACTGTGAGTGCATCATCTAAATGTGTGAGTTGCACCTTAATATGAGGGTGGGAGAATTGATAAAGATATGTGGTATGTGGTGTGTGTGTGTGTGTGAGAGAGAGAGAGAGAAAGAGAGAGAGAGAGAGGAGACAGAACTGTGTATGGTGCCTTAAACACTGTTCTTATCTTTGAAGTGCAAGTCTTGGACTGCAGCAAGTAGCTTTCTTATTAAACCTGTCCACCCTCACTCCATGGCCAGCTGCCCTGAACCCCTAAGAAGCTCCTATTCCACAGCTGAACCCGCTCTCCAGGGCCCCTGTGGCCCAAGGTCATGCTCCAAAACCCAGGGTGCCCTTGGGGATTGGCGAAGGTGAAGAAGGCAGGTCATGTGTGCCAGGCCCTTGGCTGGCTGGGAGACGGTTAAGCTGGAGGGTCCTGACCACAGCATGGCAGTTGGCAGATGTTTCTCTGTGAGACAGCCCTGGGGAGTGGAGGGGGACAGCCTGGATTCAGAGCTGGCCCGAGGGGAGGACAAGGCCTCTTGACTGACTGGTACTGGGGCAGCTGAACAAGAGGGAAGGCACCCTCTAGGCATCTCATACTTCAAGTCCAGACAGAGGCATCTTTGACCTTGAGGGTGGATGAAACCTAGGGGTGATCAGGTGGGGCCTGGGCCTGGCCCCAGGCTGCACTGGGTTCTGCTGCTGCTGCTAGAGCTGGTGGCAGGTACCCAGGACCTGTTGAGCCCAGACGCAGCACCGCGGAGCAAGTCCCTGGGACCCAGAGCACCTGCAGGAAGCAGCCACTTCAGCCCACAGAGCCCGTGGCACAGGTAAGGGGCAAGGTGGGGGAGGGGTTAATTGGGTCCTTGCGGGTGGAGCCCAGGAGTGGACAGAAGGGTGAGAAAGATCCTCCCCAGAGGAGGGGCTGGGCAGACTTGTCTATCACAGATACATCTGCATTCATTTTATTGTTAGTATTCCTTACGCTCAAGTATTAGTTCTCTTGAGTCCTAAGTTTTGGGGCCCACAAGAGCTATCACCTCACTGATCTCCCCCTCAGTCCTCTGGGCAGGTGTGGAAGTCTGCAGCAGGAGCTGGCCTCTTACCTCCAGCTGCAGATGGAACCCCTCTTCCTTCTGTCACTCCCTGGCTGCCTCCTGGCCGTCACTCTTATCAGGCAGAAATCACTTGGCCTGGCTCAGCTGATATTCTATGGCTGCCCTCCTTGGGGTCCCTGGGTCCTCAGACCCACAGTCAAGGACCATCTGTCAGGGTCGCCCCAGGCACAGGTCCCCCCACCCAGGAGACCAAGCCTATGCGGATGCAGGCATCTGCAAGGGAAGTGCCCAGGTGGAGTCTGGACAGGGAGCCGGACACGGTGCACTATGGCCAGCCTCCCTCCTTTTTGCTTGGTGTGAAATCCCTGGATGAAGCTCAGAGCCTCTAGGCCTGCTTATGATCCTAGCGGCACCGACCACGCACAGCTCTTAGCGGGTGCTGGGCTCTGAGTGCCCTGCAAAGCAGTTCCTGCTCTCTCCCCATTTCATAGACAGGAATGAAGGCCCAGAGGGGTGAGGAGACCTGCCCAGGGTAACACAGCACAAGGTTCCTAGGCAGTCTCGCGACTGTGAGAGAACCCAGTGACCCCAGCAGTAGGTCCTGTATCTTTAAACAAGAGAAGGAAGCCGGGGGCAGGCTCCCTCTCCTCCACGGACATGCACTCAGAGACTTGTCCAAACAGGTGTACTGGGTCACTTCCCAATTGCCCAAAATGGCCAAGCTCGCCGAAAGCCAAAACCAATAAGGGACTCCATCCAGGTGTCTCCCACTGCTGCCTCTTAGGGTCTCTGCATCAGCAGGAAGCTGGGGGTGGGAGCTTGCAGAGGTGAGGGGCGGGAGGTGGATCAAACACTTAACCACCAGGCTAAGCACTCATCTGGAGCCTGTGCCTTTTTACACCCCGGAAAGCAATGTACAAGAATTTGAATTGCTCTGCTTCCTTTCCAACACTTGTTTAAAAAAAAAATATCTGAGGGTCTGACATGGTGGCACAGCAAGTTAAACTGCTGCTTGGGATGCCCACATCTTACCCCCAAGTGCTGGCTGCTCTGCTTCTCATCTAGCTTTCTGCTCATGCATTCTGGGAGTCAGCAGATGGCAGCTTTAAGGCGTTGGGCCCCTTGCCACCCATGTGGGAGATCCAGGTGTGGCTCCGGGCTCCTGGCCCAGGCCTGGCTTTGTGGGAATTGGGGGGAAAGCACCAGAGGATGGAGGATCTCTCTCCTCACTCTGCCTTTCAAAGTAGATGACAACGAACAATGAAAAAATGTTGGTGATAAAAACTCATATAAAAATAGTTGGGTCCCTGCTACCCAACTGAGCTCCAAGCTCCTGGCTTTGGCCTGGCCCAGACCTGGATACTGTGGGACTTGGGGAGCAAAGAAATTGAGACAAGCAGAAAGAGACAATTATTGTATGTTACTTAAACAGACAGGTACAGACCCAGGAAATAAAGTAGAGGTGACCAGGGCCAGAGGAATATTTGAAAGGCTGAGCTACAGAGTGGGAGGGGTGCACGGAAGAGACAGAGATCTTTCATCTGCTGATTCATTCTCCAAAAGGTTGTAACAGTTGGGGGCTAGGCCAGGCTAAAGTGAGGAGCCAGGAGCTTCATTTGGGTCTCCCACATAGATGCAGAGACCCACGAACTTGGGCTATCTTCTGTTGCTTTCCCAAGTGCGTTAGCAGGCAGCTGCATTGGAAGTGGAGCGGCCGGGACATGAACCAGCATCCTGAGGGGATAGCAGTGCTGCAGAGGGCATCTGTACCCATTATGCCACAGTGCTGGCCCTAAAATCCACCTTTTTAAAAATGCATTAATTTTCAATGGAAAGTCAGATATACAGAGAGGAGGAGAGACAGAGAAGATCTTCCATCTGATGATTCAATCCCCAAATGGATGCAATGGCTGGAGCTGTGCCAATCCGAAGCCAGGATCCAGGAACTTCTTCCAGGATTCCCACGCGGGTGCAGGATCCAAAGGCTTTGGGCCGTCCTCGACTGCTTTCCCAGGCCACAGGCAGGGAGCTGGATGGGAAGCAGGGCTGCCAGGGTTAGAACTGGCGCCCATATGGGATCCTGGTGTGTGTAAGGCGAGGACTTTAGCCACTAGGCTACCCTGGGCCCCTAAAATACACTTTTACACTGTTTAGTTTTGCTATTATATAAACTTTAAAACTGTAAAGTTTTTTTTTTTTAAGTCAAAGAAAAATGTTCCCTTTTCCATTATAAAAGCAGCCACCACTCATTTGGCTCACCTCTTAAGGCAGGACACAATGGATCTGACCCTGACAGGGCACCCGTACCCAGTAGGCACTAACATGCCATGTTCTTGTTTGAAGCAGTACAGGTAGCGCCCCGGGGCTTCTTGTGGTTTAGGGACAACAGAAGGTACTTCTGCTTTTTCTCAGTGATTTTGAGCCTGTTTTAAAGGACTGAGGAATGTTTAGAGACAACATCAGGATGCAGACACGGTTCCACCCTGGAGGTGATGTCATTCAGGCGAAAGTAACCCCAGCTCCCCACCGCCAAAGGGAGTGCACTCAGAGGCAGGCACAAAGACTGGGCCAGGGCAGATGGCTAGAGCATCCAGCTGCAGGGGTTGGGGGACAGTCAGTAGTTTTGGTGGGGTCCAGGAGAGGGCTTACAACTGGGAGAGGTCTCGCCATATGGGCAGCAGCGGGAGTGCACAGCATGGGCAGGTGGCAAAGTAGGAGGACTCAGAGGGAGGGCATAGGTCAGGAGAGGAGGGCATGGGCCAGGGAGAAAGGGAAGCCAGGGAAGGAGAAAAGTGAGCGGTGTCAGAGACCAAGGCAAAGAGAGGTGCTAGAAAGACATGGACGCCATGTTGCACCCTGAAGAGACAATCAGGAACGGCAGGAACTAGGGAGGAACCTCAGACTTGACCCTGATGAGGGCCTTGTTGACCTTGACTAATTTCAGAAAGAAACAGGGATGAGAGTCAGAGGGACCTTGTCGTGTCCCCAGAATCACCAGCCAATGCCTGGCGTAGACAGCGTGGATACAGAGATGTACAGACAGATGGAGGAACAGGTAGATGAACAAATGGACGGATGCACACACAGACAGATGACGTGAGAATGCATGCGCACGCTGATGGACAGGGCAAGCAGACACTGGAAAGAATAGTCAGGCAAGGCTGCATGAACTAGGCGGGGCTGATCTGCACCTCCAGGAGACAACACAAAAGCAAAGACATGCACAAGCACTCTGAGTCAGGCATGGCTCAGCATCCTTTGGTCCACAGACATCAGCCTGGCTGGACCTTGCAAGAGAAAGAAAAGACTTGCAGACCCTAAAAGAAAGCCACATCACTCAAGGATTGGCTGAGCTCCTGCTGTGCACATCGGGGCAGCCAATACTAACAGCCTGGGGTGGGCGGAGGACACACTTGGTTACGCCAAGACTGAGCAACACCTGTCTTAGACAGGGGTACAGGCCCCTGGGAGCCAGCTGCCCACCTGTCCTGTGTTGAGGATGCAACCCTGCCTGCTGAGCCTATACTTGTAACACCCCACAGATCACCGCTCCAGCCTGGCCCCCGGGACGCAGGCCCCAGGTGTTGGCCTCACGGGTTTTGGTCTGACTCTCAGTCACACTGGTATATCTTCAGCAGCGGGACCAGACTCACCGTCACAGGTAAGTGGCTCTTTCCACACTCCTGCCACCCTACTTCCTGCCTCTGCAAAGCCCATTTTCTTGCTCTGGTGCTCTCTGCCCACCCTAGCTTTAGGGACCAGTCCCTTACTTTTCTCCATGGGTTCTGGGGTAGGCAGGTGGTCTCAGGGGAGCCCACAGGAAGGGCCCCACAGTGGGAGCCTTCCTAGTCCGACAGCCGGACACAACTGGGTCCAAGGATAATTGAAGGACAAGGGCTCCTTCCCTCTTTCAGGGCTGGTCCCTGCAAGGAGGCAGAGGCCAGTTCTGGTGAGGGGCTCCGGGAGGCTTTAGGGATGGTTCCTGTGGCTCCAGGTCTGGGTTGAAGGCCTGAGGATCATCCAGGCTGGGAGAGCTACCCAGAAGGCCGGGGGCCGCGGCTGGGCTGTGATCCCAGCCTGTCGGAGCACAGGTTCCCCAAGAACAAGGGAGGATGGAGAAGGCTCCGACTGGTGCTAGCCTGTGCTAGGCTCTGCTGGACCATGAAGATACTGGGACACAGAGGGACAGGTCAGAGTGGCAAGGTGACCAGAGCCCACTGTGACTACAGTCAGAAAGGGCTGGTCCTGGGCCAGGGCTCCTGCTGTACCCAAAGGGTATGTTAGACTCAGGGCCCTGGAAGCCGGAGCAGAGAGCGGTTCAGAGAACCTCTGGCTGCTGGGTGAAAATGAGAGGCTGATGGTAAGGCCGTGGATCACTGTGCCCCTAGTCTGGGGGGAGCAGTCCCAAGAGCCAGGGCAAAGGGTCCCATGGGGACAGGGCGATGGCAGATCCAGTCCATGTCTGGGCGATGTCCACTCCTCACAGGGACGAAGGGAGGAAGGCTCTGGGCTGGAGCTGGAGATCAGGGCCACGTTCTAAACTCAGCCTCCGGGGGGCCAGAGGAGCGAGATCGCCCTGGTGACAAAGGGGAAACTGAGGCTGCAGAGGGGGAGGGCTGGGTCAGCTTATCCGAGAGGAGACTTGGAGGGTGCAAGACCCCAGGGGAAAGAGGAAGAGGAGGGTCCCAGGGTCGGGGGACAGACAGCCACAGTGTGAACAGGACCGGGGGCAGTGAGCTCCCCAGGGCACAACTCGCTTCTGCTCTCACATCCTTCTGTCCCTGCAGGTCAGCCAGTGGTGGCCCCCACGGTCACTTTGTTCCCGCCCTCCCCCGAGGAACTCAAGGGCAGCAGGGCCACCCTGGTGTGTCTCATCAACGACTTCTACCCGGGTGAAGTGACAGTGACCTGGAAGGCAGATGGCACCACTGTCACCCAGGGTGTGGACACCACCAAGCCCTTAAAACACAGCAACCACAAGTACACGGCCAGCAGCTTCCTTAGCCTGTCACATAGACAGTGGACACTGCACAGTCGCTTCACCTGCCAGGTCACACACAAGGGGAAAACCGTGGAGAAGAGCGTGGCCCCTGCACACTGTCTGTAGGGCCCCATCTTCACCCAGTTCTGGGGGATGAAGGGATGCAGGACCCCAGGAAAAGGTCTTGCCTCCTGACCCCTTCTCCCTGCATCCAATAAACTCTCACGAAACAGCCTCATTGTCAACCACATCTCCTGTTCACTTTCTCTTATTTCCAATCTGCAGCCCTCCTGGGGTCCTCTGCCTGGGGGACTGCCTGGCACCCAGTGAGGGGGTACCCCAAGGGCAAAGGCTCATCGTCTCACTGGGGTCTCCCACAGGAAACAGACTAAGCATGTGCAGTCTGGCCACTGACGTCAGGGCCTCCACCCTACCTTTTCTCCATTCCTCCTCCCAGCACAGTGCCCCCACCGCCACCACCCCAGAATAGAGGCATCCTTACCCCAGACCTGCCCTGGATGAGACCTCCCACCCCTGTCCCAGCTCTTCTTCCTCTGGCCGGCTCAGTTCCTGCCTGCCCTCCTCCCTGGCCTGGCTTGCTCATGATCTGGACAGGCCTCATGGCCCAGGAAGCTGCCCAGCTGCGGGCTTCACAGGAGATTTTCAGTTCGGGGACCACCTTGTGTCTTCACTCCAGAACAGGCTCAGAGGTATAAGAGGGACGAACACAAAAGATGGAAACACGTGTCTCACAAAATGTCCTGCCAGGGAGGAGGCACCTGAAGGGCCTGGCCTGACTCGGGCACCAGTTCCGGAAGTAGATGGTAGAGCTTCCGGAGAACCGGGTCAGGATCTCCAGGCTTTGTGGGGGACATGTCCAGGATCCTCCTCCTCCAGTGAGAACTGGCAGTGTCAGGGAGGCTGTGCCGTGAGATGTGCACGAGGTGGGCTGGGCCTTTAGGTGCTGGGTGCTGCTCTAGGACTGGGTGAATGAGGGCACTGCCAGCAGCTGTGTTCACCTGAGCTGCAGTGGAAACCACTGATTTAACAATAAACCCAAACAGCTCCTACTACTTACATGTATTAGCAAGGAAAATGTCCACAATGTAGATAAAATTAAATCTAGGTATTCTATTTCATCATACAGCATTATATATTCTGTTATATTAACATGCCATTTTGTGTAGTTTGGATACATCCAAGACATTTTCTTAGTATGTTTTATCTATACTGACACAAGTACTATAACCCTATATTATCTACATAATTGTGTATAAAGCAGTCACTTTATTTCTTTGTTTGAAAGGTAGGTTTACAGAGAGAAGGAGACACACAGACACAGAGGGATTTTCCATCTGCTGGTTTACAACAAATGGCCCCACTGGCCAGAGCTAGACTGATCCGAATTCAGGAGCCAGGAACTTCTTCCTGGGCTCCCAAGAAGGTGCAGAGTCCCAAGGACTCTGAAGGGCCATACGAAGCAAGCTGGATGGGAAGTGGAGCAGCTAAGACTAGAACTGGTGCCCACATGTAATGCTGGCGCTGCAGGGTGGAGGATCAGCCTATTGAGCCACCATGCCAGTCCCAAGACTTCACTCTTTTTTTTTTTTTAAGATTTATTTTTATGAGAAACTCAGATTTACAGAGAAACAGAGAGAAAGATCTTCCAACCACTGATTCACTCCCCAAGGGGCTGCAACTGCCGGCTCTGCGCCGATCTGAAGCCAGGAGCTTCTTCCAGATCTCTCATGTGGGTGCAGGGCCCCAGGGCTTTGGGCTAGTCTTTACTGCTTTCCCAGGCCACAAGCAGGGAGCTGGATGGGAAGTGGGACAGCCAGAACTCGAACCTGTGACCATATGGGATCCTGGCTCATGCAAGGCAAGAATTTTAGCCGCTAGGCTACTGTGCTGGGCCCACCAAGACTTCACTCTTGATCTTTGGCTGTGCTAGATATAAATACTTCATACTTTAGAGGATAAAACTCTGATTTAACATCCAGACACTTTTGATATCCGAATCTCCCACTGTTATTCACTCTGAACTAACCCAGGAAACGAATCCTCCCTCCCTGGCTTTAGTGACAGATTGAATACGTTCAGGGAGACCAGTGAGCAGCACATTTGCTCAGGAATCACGCTGCCAGGGTCTAAAGCAAGAGAAGGAAATGACCTGAGCTGTGTCCACCATTCTTTAATGAGACAGATTTCTTATCTTGCTTCTATGGCTAATCAATGATTAGGAAGAATGAAGGTTACTGTTGGCGTGTTCTGTTCAACAATTAAAAGTAACATAGTTGGAGTGAAAAGAAGATTTTTAAAAGAAATTCAGAAAGAAAAACGCCCAGTCCAATTTTCTTTTTAAAAAAGTGAACAACTTGAGCCGTCCGTGGGTTTGCATCACCTTCACGCACAGCGGTGGTGGGAAAGGCATAAGGCACAGCCGCCTGCCTCTGAGGGCAGCGGAGCCACGCAGAGACCCGCCTGCTCTGTCTGTGCCGACGGCTGTGTGCGGGCACGCAGATGCAACCACATGTAATCAAACACATAATGCAGCCACACACCCACATGCAACTGCACACCCACACACCCACAGGCACTCACACACCCACAGGCACCAACATACCCACACACCCGCAGACACCCACACACCCACAAACACCCACACACCCACAGGCACCAACATACCCACACACCCGCAGACACCCACACACCCACAAGCACCCACACACCCGCAGGCACCCGCACACAAACAGGCACCCACACACCCGCAGGCACTCACACACCCACAGGCACCCACATCAACACAAGGTCACACACCTTCATGTGCCCACAGATGTGTGTCCATCTCCAACCATCAATAGTCACACCTTAGCCATGCCTGCCCCACCCCCATTGTTCATATGGATTATGGACACATATGGCCCAGAGCAAACCATTTCAAAACAGACTCTGGTCATGTCATGCTGAACAGCACACAGCTTGAGGTCCTAGGAAGGGCCTGGCCCTCCTGGAGACACTGTCAGGCTCTGGGCAATACAAGATGGATGGGGAAGAGCAGGGCGTCTAGACCCCAGCAACAAGAAGGTGCAGGGACCCTTCAGAGCCCCCCGGGGTCAGGCTGAGCTGGAACAGCCCCAGCTGACCCCACAGTCTTACATTCTTGCCTTGAGCTTTTCCTGACCCGACCCTTCCCAATCCCCACAACTTCCTCCCGAAAGTCCTCCTTCCAGTGTGGGAATCTTTCATGGGAGAATTGCCACTGGAGCCCTCAGAAAGCCCTGGGCTCTCACAGAAGCTTCTGAGGGTCTGGGCTGAGCCATCTAGAGTCAGGTAGGGAGGCAACTGGGGAGTGGGAGCCGGAGGGGTCACAGCACTTCTTTCCGTGGAAAGCATTTGTTGGAGGGACACAGACAGACAGGCAGAGAGAGCTCCCACCTGCTGGTCTGCTTGCTTGCTTGCTGCAGGCCGACAGTGAGAGGGAGAGGGCTGGGCTGAAGCAGGGACTTGGGGACTCAAGCCAGGTCGTGTGTCGGGGGTGGGGGGCACACATTTATTTCAGCCATTAACCATTCAGGGTGTATATTAGCAGGAAGCGCAAGCCAACAGGTGTTTCTGGGACTGGGACCCAGGGATCCCAGTTTGGGACACGAGGCTACAGGACCTTGTACTTCTGCTGGCCAGGCACATTCCTAGATTGTTAGCACTTCTCTTACACATGGCACAGTGAAGGAAGCCAGTTCCTGTGATGAGACTGGCACAGGTCGGGACACAGAGAGTAGAGGGGCTGGACTTAGCCCCAAGCTATCTTGCTGCACAGCTGGCAGATCTGAAACTAGGCCACGTGTTCTGCTTGGATATCTTAAACCCTCACAGGCCTACAGGGTGGTAGGACAATAAGTCCTGACTTTGGCCAACAACTGGGGAAATGACTCAACATCTCATTGGCCACGCACCAGACAACCAGAACCGGGAGGCCCTGACTCCGAGCCGCATGGGGCATTTCCTAAGGAGGAGTGGTGGCTGGGCCATGCCGTGGCTCCGGCTCTCATCTCACACCTCCCTGCTGGAGACCTCATGCGGCCACACACCCCGCTCTGTCGATGCCATAGCACTGGAAGCCAGGTTCCTTTACTGCCCAGATGGAATCACCTGTTTTCTCCATGCTTCCAACTAGCCCCCCATCCTCTGCTTTGTGTACAATAATAGTACAGAAAGAGCAATAAAGATACATTCTTTCTCATGTGTATTTCAAATGCATTATCTGCAGACAACACATGTTGAGAGACAATCATTCATTCACTGATTTGAAACAATCTGACCTTTTCCTCCTTACAAATCACCTCAACATACAGTTTGATATTTCGCAGTACTGTCCCTGCAATTACAAAGTTGAATCACAACCGGACCACTATCGTTAACACTTTTTCTTTGTTATTGAGGGAACACAGTTAACATGAATGCCACCATCATGACAGCATGATTAAAAAGTTACAGTGACTGAAGCAAAGACATAGCACACTAAGCCTCTGGCTGTGGTGCAGGCATTCCGTATAGGCACCATGCAGTCCTGGCTGTTCCACTTCTAATCTAGCTCCACGTGGGATACACGGAGGAAGCTCCTGGCTCGAGACTGGTCCAGTGCTGGCCAATGCGGCCAGGTGGGCAGTGAAACACAAGGCTGAAGGTCTCTCTCCTCCTCTCTCTGTAGCTCTGCCTTTCCAATAAAATTATCTTTAAAAACAAAGTTACAGAAAGCTGTTCAACAGATATCTAGAATGCTCCTTTCTTGTGTAAATGAAGCTTTATTCTGGAGGAACACCAAGTCTCCATTTCCACCCCCAGCCCCAATCAGGCCCCTGCTTATTCTGTTTCTATGAGACTACTGGATGAAATATCTCACGCATGTCTAACGGGCATCACAGGACCCTGGCCAATGTCACTTAGCATGACCCAGCAGTCCCACTTTTGGATACATGTTAAGAAGAACTGAACTTGGGGTGGAAAGATCTATGCACTTCCATGGTCACTGCAGCATCATCCACAACACCTGAGGCACGGAAACAACCCCACACCCACTGATGGATGAAGGAACAGGCACTGCAGTGCAGGGATCCAAGGAACACCAG